TGCTAAGGGACATGGAAAACAACAAGGTGCTTGGTGACAGCCAGCATGGCTTCACTAAGGGGAAACCCTGCCTGACCAATGTGGTGGCCTTCTAGGATGGGGCTGCAGAACTGATTGACAGGGGTAGAGCAGTTGATGGCATCTCCCTGGACTTGTGCAAAGCGTTCGACACTGTCGCACACGACATCCTTGTCTCTAAACTGGAGAGACATCAATTTGATGCATGGACCACTCAGCAGATAAAGAACTGGCTGGATGGCCGCATGCAGAGTTGCGGTCAATGGCTCAATGTCCAGCTGTAGACCAGTATTGAGCACCCTTTTCATTGTTTTTTATACCCTTCCTTTCATTAAAGCCAAAACAAGTGTGATCAGGTCACACAGTCCTTTTTGTACTCCTATTGCTGTCTTTACAAGCCCAAACACTGACTGCTGATTCCTATAGGAGACCATAAGTCAAGGTAAGAAGTAGTGAAGTCCACGTAGCATTTCTATTGCTTGTGTCCTGGAACTGCCTCCCCTAATTGGAACCAGTTGGGTTTTTAAGTGCCCTCCTTTAACCTTTCAAATCACAAGCTATGGAGATGCCTGTGGTTCCTTTCCTGTGTGCTTGGAGGCGCAGACAACAGGGACATTCTTTGCTTCCGAGGTTGCTGCTGATTAGAGCTTGTGCTTACAACGTGGTGCGATCCTGCACCGCTTGCAGCCAAGAGGTCCAGAGCACACTTCTGATGGAACACACATGACACCAAACCACTGAGGGCCTTGCCTTCAGCTTGAGTGGGATGAGCTTTTGGTTAAGTTCTTGTGTTTCATGTTCTGGCTCTGCAACAGCCAGCGTGGCCCCAACAAAGAGGAGGTCTCCTTTGTGGGAGAGGGAAGAATGAAGGCAGAAGAAACCCAGTTACTCAGATCTTCAGTGCTGACAAAGACACTGAGTGGAATCCATGCAATGCAGCTCAAAAATACTGCTGTTATTTGGAAGTGAAGATAGGAAGCAGCCTGAAACTTCACTGCACTGTACAGCAAGAAGCTTGGAAGATTCGTATAACAGGAAAAAATTGTATTTATGGGTACAAGTTTGCTGTATGAATTCTTTTGAGCTACGCTCAGATTTGTACATGAGCCCTCCAAATTCTTGTCCGATGACCACACTTCCTAACTCCTCAATTTCACAGAACTTTGAAACCTATGACTTAATAAATTACAATTCTTTTTACTGAGTGTAATGAGAGGGTGTCATTTTGCAGGTCTTAAGGCACTTAATATCCCCTATGCTGCGTGCTAATACTGTGCTGGTTATTGCCCATCACTGGAAAGGTCATCTGGAAGGATGGCTGTGCTCACTGGGCTCCAAGTTGGTCCTTACAAACTATCTACTAACTGGATTAGAAGGTACTCATGACCTACACATGCTAATATGACCAATAACCTCCCAAGCGAAAAGCACCTAGCACATTTGTGATTCCTGAACAAAGCTACTTATTAAGCGCACTGCATCCACAGAACAGTGCATTCCTCCTTTTCATCCAGCAAAGATGAATAACTTCTGAGTCAGGCTTACGCCTGGATTCTGGGAATGAGGAAACAAAGATCTTGTGGTTACTCGTTGTGCACAAACTGGTTCTTGTCAGAGCAGCAGTCTTTAGCATGGGGTGAAATGAAAGCAGCTGCCAGCTGCCATTTGCTTCTAAAGGGCAGCGTCCAGTGCTCACATCCATGCGTCGCTGCGGCTCTGTGGAGCCCTGGCCATGGATACACCACAGCCACTGAGTCTATTCTTTGTCCTGACCGTTTGACACTGTCAGAGCTGAGTGGTAAAGGGCAGGCTCCTTGCCCTTTCCCTGCACACTGCTTACTACTGCTTGTAGACAACACCACCAGTGTGCCTTCAGCAGAGCTGAGCATGGCACAGCGGCTTCTGTGCTGTCGTAGGGCTCCCAGATGTAATTGAGCACTTCCCAAGCACTGTGGATCCTGGGACTACCTCAGTGCAAGGCTAAAAGTACTCAGTGTAGATGATGAGCTAGTCCTAAGTAGCTGAGGTCTGCTCTCGCCTATCAGTGCAGGGAGAATTGAGGGAATTATCCTCTTAGGGCAGGATTCTGCTCACCAACGTTGGGTACAATGTAAGTGCTGAAACTCATCATCTGCCACAGGGTTCTTGTTCTGTTCTGAACAGGGCCCTTTGGGTCACTGTTACCTCACACAGTTTAGACCTATTAGTGCCCAAGGAGTGCATCAGAGTTGCCAGCAATGGGGGCCTAAGGTTGTGCCAGCACCCCAGATTGACTTGAGTTTATGAGATGAAGCCCACCCTGGAGATGAGGTGTGTTGTGCTGCACGCCTTAGACATGCTATAAAGTGCTCTGGAAATAAACCCAACGTTCCTCTTTGGAACCCTCACCACTAGTCCAGGGACTGGCAAGGAGCATCCCTGACAGTGACTTGAGTGTCCTTATTGCCTGCCTCCAAGGTGCGGCCTTCCCTGTCTGATCCCTAAATAGTCAGCAGGGAAATTAAAGGGGATTAAAATAACAAGGTTATTTCACATCCTTCTCCAGATGAACCCAACCTAGACCAGACCTCACAGACCCTTCTAATGACTCCCTTAAAAAGGGCTGTGCTCAATTCAAGTTTAGAAAAGCACGTAAAAGCTGGAGACTTCATCTTAGGGAGAATGGGCCTTTGATCACTGTAAGCTACTATTTTCTCCAAAGGCTGCATTTCTTGTAGGTTAAATATATATATATATCATATTCTGTGCTTCACTATTTAAAATTAGCAGGCTTCTTTTAAAGAGAAACCCCATCCCTGAAGCCAGGTCAGCTGAGAGCTGACCCTGAGAGCATTTCAGCTCCAGAAGGAGGATGTCTGGAGCATCGCTTCCCCTGCTTCAGTGTGGAGTCACTCAGCATCGTTTCCTGCCCTGTTTGCGGTTCAATGGAGCTGCCCCCATGAGCTCCTCTCACCTCTTGGGTGATGCTGTCAACTCTCTGCCTCAGAAGAGCTCTTGTGCCATTGCTATGGTGCAGCTCAGCCCTGCAGTGCCTGGAATGCTGGTGCTATGGTGGATATGCCTGTTCACCGCTCTCATACAAGCTATGGGATCATGGACTGGTGGAAGGGACCTTAAAGCTCATCCAGTTCCAACCATTCCCCCTTGTCTGTCCCTACAAGCCCTTGTCAGGGATCAATACAACACCCCCCTCACCTGGGCAGCCTTTGAGCCTCCTCTGCTAGAGACAGGTAGGTGGAATTCCAGCTTTGTATTTGCTCCCTGTGAGGGACACAGGGAAAGACAAGTTTTGGTTTTCCCAAGTGAAAATGGGAAAGAAAAAAAGGAGGGAAACAGGTGGGGAAGGAAATTTTATTTCCAAGCTTCTAAAAGGATCTTACAAACCACAGAGAGTTAAAAAAATGCAAAACTATATATATATATTATATATATATATAATTGACAGGGTCCTTTTAAGCAATTCTTCACATTATTCTAATGGTGATAGGAAATACCACGTAACCATATATGTGTTTTTCCTGGAATCCTGATCACTGCCGACAGCTGATGAACCTCTTCCCATACATCTCCCCTGGACTGTAGAGATTCCTTCTCTTGGAAGCAAAGGAGGAAGAAAGAGAACAAATTCATCAAGGAGGAAAAAGAGCAACTCTCTTGAACGCGGTGTTCCCAAGCGGGGCTCTGTGAAAGCCAGGTGTGATGCCTCTATGGGATCTTGTGCCTAACCCCAGCACTCCACACCTCTCAGTAACTCATCCCATCCCAGCCATTCCCACCTTCCCAGGGTCTCACGTCCTTCTCCAAACAAGCTCCAGCGCTGCCCAGCTGCACCCCTCAAGCTCAGCACCACTCCTTGCCCTCTCCTTCCCACCAATCCAATCCTCAACCTTTATTCTTCAGCACTTCCCAACGGCTCTGCTCATCCAGGAGGAGTTCATCCCAGCTCTCCATCCCCACCAGCAGCACTGCTTCCACCTTGGCATCCCTCCTGCAGGGACTGGCTGCTGTCTACATCCACACCCGCTGGGGATGAGGAGGGATTCACACTCGGCTGCTCAGGATCTGCCACCCACATCAGGAAACCATGGGCCTGTGGACAAAACCAACAGCTCCCAACCAGAAAGGACCTCAGGAAATAAATGCAGAGAAAGCCAAGACAGAGAAATGGAGCTGGGGCAGCTCCAGATTCCTGCTCGCCCTGAAACATCGTGGCTGCTTTTGGACATTGCCCAAAAAGTAAACAAAACCCCAATGATCCCTTGTTCCCCCCATCCCACCCCCCAACAGTTAAACACTTAATGTCCAGCTTAAGTGAAATCAACAGATTTGAAAACCCACACAGATGGCAAAAAGGAGAGCAACAACAACGAGGCAGTTCCTGTTGTCCTCACAACAAAAACCCCAGCTCGAACCTCGGAGGCAGAGGGCTAAATGCCACATCTCTTTAAGGGCTGTGCCACCCCACTTTGGAGCCTGAAGGGGCTCCTTGGGTCCCATTCCCAGCAGGGAACCAAACGTCTCTCACTGGCCACATCTTCTGTCTGACCCTAGCACCAGGGATGCTGCTGCTGCAGGCAGCTGATGGAGGATGGCTCAGCCCCGGGGTACCCGCTCCTGCCTGCACAGGTCAAAGCCCTGCATCACCTTCCTCCTCCTCTACACCCTACACGTAAACCAGGCAGCCACAAACACCCCAGCCAGCTGTGTGAAAGAACGTATATATTCAGCACGCACTCAATACAGCATAGCAACAAAAGCTGTCGTTTCCTTAAAAAACAGAGGAACACCCAACTTCCAAAACAACCACCAAAACTTCCAAACTTCTCCCCACCCTACAGCCCTGATACTCATCCTTCCGGCCCGGACAAGGCAACCAGTGACCCCAGCACCACGCACCCCTGCCTGGCAAGGGACAGATGGGGGCCCTGCCGCAGCACCCAGCTCCTCCCGCGGAGCCTGGGATGCTCCCAATGGAGAGGAGCCTGGCCAGCAGTTTGCTCCCGTATGGTTATTTGGGACATCCCCCTCTCCCACCCCTCCCAAAGGAAACAGAAAGGAGGGCAGGCTCTGGCTGCAGCCCCCAGCATGCGCCAGGGAAGAGAGAGGATCCCATCAGTGATGCTGGCAGGGTCCACACTCGAATCGGCATCTCCGTGTCTCTTTCTGCTGGAGGTGGGGCATGAGGCTGAGCAGGGGGAGAGGAGTAGCACGGTGGCAGGGACAGGGGCTGGCAGGGCCCTCGCTGTGTGCAGAGGGGAGGTAGATCGGCTTTAGGGACCTCTTGCCCAGGAGGATGCCTTCTCGGGCACCAGCTCCAGGGGGAACAAGCCCACCGCAAGACCCTGAACACCCACACTTGCCTTCTCCTGAGGGGAAGGCACCTCGGAGCCTGTCCATGCCATCGGAAAGCTTTTTAGCCCTGAAACTGCCTCCTGTGGGCAGCTGGGGACCAGCCTGGAGATGGCAGCAGCGACCCGCGGGGCAGGAGGGACCCCAGCTCCAGGCCAGACCCCAACCCCAACCCGCGCCATGGGGATAGTGTTTGATGCTCTGCGTCCCCCCCCCTCCCCAGGTCCCCGTCCCCAGCGTGCCCGTTAGTCCTGCTGCTCGTTCATCTCCATGTCGGACACCAGGATGTTCTTCTCGGCCGCCTCGCTGGGGTTGGACGTGGTGCGGCTGTACCGGGCGCTCTCGAAGGCGCCGCGCTCCGCGCTCCGCCGCCGCTTGTAGAGGTACACGGCGACCGCCAGCACGGCGCACAGCGCCAGCGCCGACAGCACCACCACCGCCACGGCCGCGGTGTTCTCCGGCAGCGCTGCGGGGCGAGAAGAGGCTGGTGAAGGAGCCGGACTCCTCCTGCTGCCCCACCGCGGTTCTGCCCCTCTGCTGTGGGGACACCCCCCTGCAGTGCGGTGTCTGGAGCCCTCAGTACAGGAAAGACACGGACCTGCTGGTGCAGAGGAGGGGCATGCAAGTCATCAGAGGGATGGAGCACCCCTCCCTATGAGGAAATGCTCTGTGAGAGAGTTGGGGTTGTTCAGCCTGGGGAGACCTTGTTGCAGCCTTTCAGTTACTTGAAACGGACCCATAAGAAAGATGGGGAGAGACTTAGCAGGGCTTGTTGCAATAGGACAAGGAGTGATGGTTTTAACCCTAAAAAAACTAAAGGTTTTTTTGGGTAATGGGGAGGTGAGCCTGGAGAAGAGAAGCTGCAAGGAGACCTCAGAGCAGCTCCCAGTGTCTGAAGAGGGCAACAGGGATGCTGGAGATGAACTCTTCATCAGGGAATTTAGTGATAGGACAAGGAGTGATGGGACAAGGAGTGATGGTTTTAACCCTAAAAAATCTTTAAAGGTTAAAAAAAACCCCTTAAATCTTTTTAACCTTTTAGGTTTAAAACCTGAAAGAGGGAGATTCAGGCTGGCTATGAGGAAGAAGATCTTTACAATGAGGGTGGTAAAACACTGGCACAGGTTATCCAGAGATGAGGTGGATGCGCCATCCATGGAGACATTCAAGGCCAGGCTGGATGTGGTTCTGGGCAACCTGGTCTGTTTGAAGATGCTACAGAATCCCAGACTGGTTTGGGCTGAAGGGACCTCAAAGCTCATCCAGTCCCAACCTGTGCCATGGGCAGGGACACCTTCCACTGGAGCAGCTTGCTCCAAGCCCCTGTGTCCAACCTGGCCTTGAACACTGCCAGGGATGGGGCAGCCACATCCCCCAGCCTGGCCTGGCACTGTGGGCAAGGGCAGGGGAGCCTGGCAAAGGACTGGCTGGACACACTCCTCCATGGAGGGATGGCTCCTGGAGAGCCCTGACTGAGGGCCAAAACCACCTGGAAATGGCATTTCCCACCCGCAAACATCATTTCTTTGGCTACTGATACAAGCCAGGCACCAGGTCCTGGTCCTGTGTGCAGCCTAAAGGTACCACTCACCTGCCCTGGAAAAGCTGCTCTCCTCCACTGCAATGGCAACACAGAGACATGAGTGCATGGCCATGGCACCTTCCCAGTGCCAGCCCCACCAGCCCCACATTCTCCACTGCTCTCAGTGCGGCACCACACAGACACGACGTGATGCACCTGCATCCTCTGGTGCTGCTCTGCTGCTGCATTCATCCTGCCCCAGCCATTTAGACATGCAGAGCTGACCACTGAGCCCAGTGGGGACCTGCAGACCCCAGCCCCTAGCCCTACAACCAACCCCCTATCCTGGAACTGCCCAAAGCAGAGCTCTGCCCTGCAGCATCCTGCCCCGACCCCCAGCTCACCCCACATCACCCCAGGCACAGCAGTGGGGGTCCCTACCTCTGGGGATCTTGCAGATGACCCCCATGGTGACGTTGGTGCAGGAGCCCAGGCGCCACACGCCGTTGCTGCTCTGGATCCAGTAGCAACTGTTCTGGCTGAGCATGCTGGGCCCCGTGTCGTGCTGGCCCCAGTTGGAGTAGTTGACGGCGGTGTTGTCATGCCAGACCAAGGTGCCACCTGGGAAACAGGAGAATTACAGCTGAAGGGGACACCCCATCTGTGCCCCAGTTCAGAAAGCACTGGGGAGGTGGGATGGGGTGATGGAGAGGCGAGCCTGGAGAAGAGAAGCTGCGTGGAGACCTCAGAGCAGCTTCCAGTCTCTGTCATCAGGGACTGCAGTGATAGGACAAGGGGTGATGGGTTCAAACTGAAACAAGGGAAGTTTAGAGCGATGGAGCGATGGGGAGGTGTGATGGGGCAGTGGAAAGGTGTGATGGGGAGGGCTTATGGAGTTATGGGGCAATGGAGAAGACCAGGGGCTGAAGGGCATCTTCCTGAAGGTGCAGGCTCCAAGTGCCTTGAGGAAGATCTGGCCTTTAAAGGCACCACTGCCATCCCACCAAGCCAGAGGAGGACACATGGCACATGTGCCACTGCTGCCACCACCAAGGACTTCTGCTCACTGAAGACCTGGTGGGAATTCATGGCGGTGTCTAGAATATATAAGACCTCTCTTCTTCCTTTGTACCTTTGGGGTTGAAAGTCATGCCCAGCCAGGCACCCTTGGATGGACCCTCGTACGCCTGGAGATGCTCCCACACAAAGACGTTCTCCATCTCATCCTGGATGGACAACACTGTGCCGCCAACTGCAGGGAAAGAGGGTCAGGGAAGTGCCCAGACCTCGGAGGATGGAACTTCACCCTGTTCCATTCCCAAGGATGCATCACCCCCTCCACCCCCACAGCCCCCTCTCATACCTTTCTGGCACCTCTTCATGGCGTCCTTCTGCCCCAGAGTGATCTCCATGTGGAAGGTGTAGCAGTGGTCCCGGAAGGGGATCCAGGATGAGTCCTCCAGTGATCTGGGACAGCTGCCACTGTAGCTCCACTTGTGTGTGCGGGGGACACCTGGGGGGCACACAGTGCATTGCGGACAGCAGAAGAGTGTGGGCATCACAGAGTGGTTTGGGTTGGAAGGGACCTTAAAGCTCATCCAGTTCCAACCCCCTGCCACGGGCAGTGACACCTTCCACTAGAGCAGCTTGCTCCGACCTGGCCTTGAATGCTGCCAGGGATGGTGTCAGCATCCTACAGCACGCTGGGGACAGCACAAGCCCCACAAGGACAGACACACACACACACACACACACACACACACACACACACAGTGCAGGAGGTCCCTGGTGGGATGCCATCTCCAACCCTGCATCCCACCCAGTCTGCCCCACACCAGGCCCCCCACAACCAGCACCTGCTTGGAGTTGGCAGATGCCACCCTGGAGCTTGGTGTCGCAGCCGGCCGTGCGCCAGGTCCCATCCACATCCATGTAGGAGCAGCCGGAGACTTGCTTGGGCTCCCCATCCTGCCAGTTGGCATAGAAGAGGTTCTCCTCCGTCAGCCAAGAGTAGCTCCGGCCTCCCTGCAGAACCAAGGGGAGGAGAAGCTTTGGGGGCTGCTGTGACCTGGGCTGGGGACCCCCCTTCCATGCATTTGCCCCCCTCCCTCACCTCATCGTTGGCCAAGCCGATCCAGAGCGGAGCACGCAGGCTGCTGACGGCCTGGGTGAGGAACGCCTGGCTGTAGGGGTCGGGGATGGTGGCCAGGGTGGCGTTGAGGGTCTCGCAGAGCAGCAGCGCCTCGTGCCACCTGAGGGGCTTCTGCAGGATGCGGTAAGTGCTGTTGTGGTAAAAGAGGGTGCCGGTGGGCGAGGGGGGGTACAGCGTCCGCGGGGGGCTCAGGGACGGGTCTGAGGGAGCAAAGAGACATGGTCAGAGGGCATGGAGGACTCTCAGCTCCTCATCCCCACCCCATCCATCCCCCAGAGTGTCTGTGGCAGCGCTGTGCGCAGGGCATGGGACCAAGGGACATCCCGGCGTGACCAGGGAGAGCAGATATGCCATGTCCCCATGGGCAACGAGCAGTGATACCCCAATGCCATCCCCACCTTGGAACCATCCATCATCCCTATGGACACACCAAGCCAGGCTGGAGTGCACAGGTCTGAGGTTACCCCACAAACAGCTAGGACCAGGGACATCCCACACTGAGTTTTGGGGGGAGCAACTTCATGCTGAACTCAGTGCCCCACCGCAGCACGGGGCACCGGGGTGGTGGTGGCAGGCCCCCAGCGGGCAGTAGTTGGGGCTGTCCCCCTCGTACCTATGCTCTGCTGGCAGATGTAGCCGTGCTTCTCCTCCGTGCAGCTCCGGTCATCCCAGCGTCCTGTGAAGTGTGGGGGGGAGCCATGCCACACCACCACACAGTTGGTCTGCACAGACAAGCCATGAGGTCAGCACTGCCTTTAGCATGGCCCTCCCACCCCACGGATACCCCTACCCTGCAGGGCCAGATCCCCTGGAAAGCCACCCCAGCACCCTAAAACCTTCCCTCCTGGCACACGGTGCCCAGAGGAGCTGTGGCTGCCCCATCCCTGGCAGTGTTCAAGGCCAGGTTGGACACAGGGGCTTGGAGCAAGCTGCTCTAGTGGAAGGGGTCCCTGCCCGAGGCAGGGGTTGGAACTGGGTGAGCTTTGGGTCCCTTCCAACCCACACCTGTGATCCTCATGGTGGGACATAGGGATGCTCTGGGGGGGTCACTCACTGGCTTGTCACGGGGGCTGGAGGCACTGCATCCTGAGGGCTCTCCGGGTGCCCAGCTCACGTGCTGCAGCGGCTCACCCACCACCCACTGGAACTCCCTCTGGGCATCGTGGAGGCCGATCCAGAGGTCGAAGGAGATGTTGGGCAGCATGGATGTGATGAAAGCTGCAAGCAGCTGGTGAGACACTGAGGCCGATCCCCAGCAGGTCCCCAGCCAGCGGTGCCAGGGGGAGGCAGAGCAGGGAACTTACCCTGCTCCAAGGGGCTGGCAATGGTGGCCAGGACAGCGCCCTGGCTCTCGCACGCCTGCTTCGCCTCTGGCCACTTCACTATCTCAGCTTTGTCATGGCCATTGAAGCTGAAGCACTGCACGGGTGGGGGCACGAGATGGTCCATGGGGTGCAGTCAGCCCTGTACCCTCCCCTCTCAACCACCAGCCCCACTCTGCCCCAAGTTCTTCTCCCCTTTGCACCTAGCTTGCCAGCCTCCCAACCTTTCCTGCCATCCCATACCTCTCCCAGCATCCACGTGCACCGTCCCCATCCCTCCTGCACCCACAGCGCAGCTCTCCCCGCATCCCCGCACATCCACCAGCATCATCCCCAGAGCACATGCACGTATCCCTCTCCACCCTGCCACATCTCAGCCACCCCATCTCCACCTCAGAGCGGCCGTCCCCTCTCCATCCTGCCCCACCTTGCTGAGGAAGGGAAGCCAGCCACGGGGACAGCCCCCACTTGAAGGAGCAGGCGGTGGTGGGATGGAAGGCTTTGCCATCGTCCCATTGCTCCGCTTGCAGATGTAGGGCAGCGCTGTCATGCACTTCTGGTCCCCCCAGTCCTCTGTGGGGAGGGACAAGCCAGACATGATCCCCCTACGGCACTGGGGTAGGGGTATCCCTGCTCAGCCCCAGCCCCTTCAGAGCCAGATCCTGCCCCTCACCTCTGCTCGCTGTCATGTAAACGCACTTCTTGTCCTTGTTGATGGGCCGGGGCTTGCCTGGTGCCCAGGAGACAAAGTTGAGCAAGGACCCATCGGACCACCTGGGGAAGGCACCAGTGGCAGCACAAAGCCAAGCAGTGAGTTGGTGAATGGGACCAGTTGCACCCCCTCACCACACCACTGCCCTCTCATGGGGGAGGAACCTCCAGGCACTGAGCCACAGGGCTCTAAGAGCTGGGGACAGCGGGATGGCGACATGCGGGGATGCAGCGCCTCTATCTCTGACTTACTTGAACCTCCCATCGCTCTCATAGGTGTGCAGCCCGATCCACCAGTGCTGCTCCTGGCCCCTGGAGAACTGCACCCAGAGAGGACACATCAGTGCCCTGCAGGGACTGAAGAGTCCTTGGGACAACTGCAGCCACTTCATGAGCATCACCGTGACTCCCACAGAGTCCGGCTGCCCCCAGGTTCCTCCAGCAAAGGGTGAAACAAGCAGGGGAGGGAGTGGAGCCCGACAGCAGCATCCCCATCCCCTGGTACCTTCTTGAGGTTCTGGCCCAGGAAGCGCAGCTCAGCCTCACTGTGCACTGATGCCAGCTCTGCCTGGAACCAGCTGCAGATGCGCTGTGCCTGCACCCATGTCGAGTGATGCTCAAAGAACTTGTACTCAGCCTCCTGGTACTTCACCCACTCTTTGCTGCCTGCAGGCAGGGACCAGTGTCATGCCATGGCCATGTCACCCCTGCCACAGCCACCAGCACCCACAGCCCTGTCCCTCAGTCCCCTGCTCTGCTTTTGCCCTGCTGCTGGAGCTGAGGAGCCTGATCCTGCCTGGTTGTGCAGCAAGGGGCAGCAGCAGGATGCTGGGGCTCTCCTCCCTCCTATGACCCTGCACAGGATCCACCCTTCTGTGGACACACTGCAGGGATGTCCCACAAGGACCGTGTGATGGGTGGCAGATGCCCAGGGGGGATGGTGCATGCTGGATGGACACAAGCCTGTGACCAACGCACCTTGGGTTGTGATCTCTGGCTCCTTCACATCGACACCTGGAGAAAGGGCAAGGGGAGGCTGTCAGGGGGTGCGGGTCTGGGGTGCAAACCACCCCCAGGCTCCAAGTGTGAGATGCCCTCCTGAATCCCCCTGGGATGAAGAGTGCCTCTCCCAGCCTCTGGGTTAGGACTCATCACAGAATCATACCATAGAATCCCAGAATGGTTTGGGAGGGAAGAAACCTTAAGCTCATCCAGTTCCAACCCCTGCCACGGGCAGGGACCCCTTCCACTGGGACAGCTTGCTCCAAGCCCCTGTGTCCAACCTGGCCTTGAACACTGCCAGGGATGGGGCAGCCACAGCTTCTCTGGGCACCCTGTGCCAGTGCCTCAGCACCCTCACAGGGAAGAGCTTCTGCCTAAGAGCTCATCTCAGTCTCCCCTCTGGCAGGTTAAAGCCATTCCCTTGGCCTGTCCCTACAGGCCCTTGTCCAAAGCCTCTCTCCAGGTTTCTTGTAGCCCCTTTAGGCACTGGAGCTGCTCTAAGGCCTCCCTTTATGGCGCCTTCTCTTCTCCCATAACAGAGGGTCCCCCCACACCCTCTGCACCACCCCACAGCCCATCCTGCACCACATTATCCAGAGCTGAAGGGTCTGGGGGCCTCCTGGCCGGTACCTTTGGGCAGTTTGCAGATCCAGTCCAGCTGAGCTTCACACTGCATCGGCATCCACTGCAGGGAGGCCAGGTCCAGCACCGCGCAGCTCCGGATGCCATCGTCATCGTAGTTACTGCGGTCAAAGTTGTGGTAGAAAAACTGGGGGTCGAGAGAGACGGGAGGGGTTGGGCATTTCCACCTGGGGCCCATTTGCCCCCCGCTGCACCCCGAATGCCAACCATCCTGCTGGCACCCCCACACACTCACCCCCAGCCCATCGCTCCACCGCCAGCTCCTGTCCCCTGCAGGGTCCCGCCGGTTCAGGCCAATCCAGAACCAGTGCTGCTCATGGAGCTCCGGCTCCGACTCCCTGCAGGGAGCCGGGGGAAGGATGAGAACAACCCCCCCAGACAGGAGCGTTGTACATGGATATACAAATATGTGTACATTTATATACAGATATCCATTTATAACCTGGCCTTTTTGCTTGCTTTCAAAGCCCGCTGTCCCTGCAACACCCAAAGGCAGTACCTTGGGAACAGCAGCTCAGGGCTGAAGGAGTTTCAAACCCAAGCTCCATCCCCCAGTGACACCAAATTTCCTGCACTTCTCCCTTTGGTGTAGCCACACTGAGGCACCTTCAAGCTCATGCTCAGAGAGCCACATCCCTGCTCCATCCACGGGGGCGTGGGCTCGTGCCAAGCGAACTTGGGCAGCAGGACACGGGCTAAAACCTCACCCAAAGATCTTGTTGAGGGTGTTGGCGACGAAGTGCTCCTCCTCGTAGCTGCCCAGGCTGAGCAGCTGGGCCCCCAGCTCCCGGCAGAACTCCTGTGCTGCGATCCACGTCTTCTTCTCCTGCAGCTTCTCGTAGTTGAACACCTACAGAAAGGACCCCAAGACCAACCAGCTCCAACCCCTGCCATGGGCAGGGATGCCTCACGCTAGACCATGTTGGCCAAGGCTCCAACCTGGCCTTGAGCACTGCTAGGGATGGGGCATTTACCAATTCTCTGGGCATCCTGTGCCAGCGCCTCACCGTAAAGAACTTCTTCCTTATATCCAGCCTGGACTCACCTTGTAGCAGTGCCGGAGCTTGGAGTCGGAGCTCCATCCCGCAGGACAGGCAGCGGTGAGGCTGGGTGTGGGGTACGGCCCGGGCAGCTCAGGGTTCACCGGGGTGCCCAGGTTCTGCCGGCAGATGTACTTGGCCTTGAAGGTGCTGCAGTTCTTCACCTCCCACAGCCCCATGGAGCTGCCGGTGGCCAGGGCCACGCAGCCACCCTTGTTGTAACCTGGAGCGCTCACGGGAGCGGGGGGATGCCTGCCTTAGGGTCGGACCGTGCCAAGCGGCACGGCCAGCACCCACCCTTGCATGGGGGGGATGTCCCCATCCCACCCATGGGCACCTCCTTACCGGGCTGGTCGCGGTTCCAGTGGGTGTACATGACCTCGTCGCCGCTCAGCCAGCGGAAAGCACCCGTCTCATTGATGTCCTGCAGCGCTGTCCAGAAGTATTCCCCATCCCAGCCATAGATGAGGCTGCTGACGTATGCCTGCTCGAACCTGGAGGGGCAGCAAGGACGGGTGATGCTGTGAGCGGAGGTGCTGAGCAGCCCAGCATGCACAGCCCAGTTGTGGGGTCATACCCTGCCATGGGGGCAAACCCACCACCACTGGTGCGGCACCGACCTGTTGGTGATGGTGACCAGCGTGGAGCCGTAGTCAGAGCACGTCCTGCGGGCATCACTGTAGGGGACACGGTCCTCACCCAGCCAGAAGCAGGAGGGGCTGTGCCACTTCCAGCCCTGGGGATGGGTGACAGGGAGCATCCACCACTGCTCACCCCAGCCCATCCCAGAAGGATGGGAGCGAACCCAGGCATTGAGAGCAAAGTCCCACGTCCCCCTGCCACCACTTCTGCCTTCTCCTGGAAGTCTCTTGCCCTCGGCCCCCCCAGCTTGACCCCGCTCAGCTCTGAGCTCTAACAAACCCCTGCTCCCGGAGGACATGGCTGCAAGCAAAACAAACACCCATGCAGCTTCAAAGCCAGGGAATGTCTGTCCCTGCCAATGTCCAGCCCGGCTGGGGTGTGGGGAGGGGAGCACAATCCTCCTCTATACGCCATGGGGCCGGATCCAGAGCGAGTCCCACCGCAGCCTGCTTTAATCCCCCGCCTTGTTGATGTTGGAGCCTCTCCGGGGCTGCAGACACAATAGCTCCTGTCTTCTGCCAGAGCAGGGAGCGGGGCGGCCCTGGGGCTGGCAGCAGCCGTGGGGAGGGACATAAGGGATCACCCGTGAGAGGAAGAGCAAGGGTGGGAAGGGGCTTAGGAGGGGGAGGCTCAGGGACCCTCCTGTGCGATAGGAACCATCACCAGGGCTTTATCCCAAGACTCGTGTCCTCTGCAGTAGCAGCAGCATGGTGGGGAGGAAAGCACCCTTGGGAGACCAAGAGGGAAATTACCCCAAATCCCACTTATTTTTTCCTCCCAAACTCCTGCTCCTGCAGCCTTTCCCCAGAGTCAAGGAAAAGGGGCCAGGACCATCAACCCCAACTGCTGCCCCCAGCTCCTGGCATGCCCCGCATCCCTCTGCGCCTCTGCCTTTCCCACTGCTCAAACCTCCATTCCCCCCCTGAGCTTCCTTTAAGGCTCTTACAAAAGTAAAGAGGGTTTGAAAAGGGGGAGAAAAAACAGCAAAGCCACCAAGAAAACCCCGCATGGGGGCGGAGAGGACCAGGGCTGATCGTCCAAGCAAGATGCTGCCTTCTCTGCCTCTGCGTCTGGGTGCAAATGTGAGGATGAGGATGGGAAATGCCTCTCCTTTGTTCATGTATCATGGCCAGTTTGTTCCCCACCAGGTGCATGTCTGTTGGGCACTCAGGGTAAGGCTGTGGCTAGCGAGGCAGGAGGGTTGTATCCACATGGGGACATGCTATTAGCCCTCAGGACGAGCGGATGGGTGATGGCAGCACACGGCCACCAAGCACCTTGTCCCCAGCACTGGGATTCCTCTGGCTCTGGCTGGCAGCTCCCATAATGCCAAGATTTGTCTCTGCTGTGCCAGGGTGAAGGAGCCCATTGGGGCTGTCACTGGTGTGGATGCCAGTGCCCACTGGCTTGCTCTGAGATGCTGGGAGCCGTTCAAGCGCTGGCGATGCCAGCCTGGCTGCTCGGAGCCTTGGGACAGGCACAAAAGAGACTTCCAAGTGAGCGTGGGAATGGGGCGGCCTCAGCTCAATGGCTGGGGAAACTGAGGCAGAGCACGGCTGGGTGAGAACCCACCACGTCGGTGGCGGCGTCCCTGGAATGCCTGCATCCCGCCTGGAAAAGGCAGCCTGCCATCGCGGCGAGCACGGGGCCGGCAGCTGCCTCTGTCCCATGGGTTTTGGCACAGATGGAGGCGAAAGGAGAAAGGAATACATTAACGTCCCTGCTGGCAAGCAGGCCAGCCCCAGGGGGAGGATCTTGGATGATGGAGACGGGAGTTTTGTCCCAGTTTCCTCCTGCAGCCTCGTGCAAACTTGGAAGCGAGGGGCTGAGCCCCCAAGCACAGCAGCAGCTCCAGGCACTGCTCCTCAGGGCTGCCTGAAATGGGTTTGGGGAGAGGCCCCCTGTATCCCTGAGCATCAGGCAGAGCCACATCCTGCCCCAGGTCCCCCTCACCTTCCGGCACCCGTGGTCATCCTCCTCCTTCTCCTGGCTCACCCTCCCGGGCTTTTTGCAGATAGATGGTAGGGTCTGGTTGCATGGGCTGTCATTCCACCTCCCCTCCTGCACAGCATGGAGAAAAGCAGGAGTGAGCTCATCTGGGGTATTTCCCAGACCATCCACCCCCACCTTGGTTCTACACCAAATCCCCAAGGATGCTGTGCTGGATCCCTCCCATCCCAGCCAGGTCCAGCCCCCTCTGGAGACACTCCCCACGGTATCCCTCCCCTGGCCATGAGGATGCTGCAGGATAAACCCCAGCGCAGGCGCTCACCGGTCCCCAGATGGTCACACAGTCCTCCAGGCTGTCACGGAAGTTGTTGGGCTCGAAGGGATGCCAGTATGTGAACCGCACAGGGGTCCCATCCGACCACTCGAAGTTCATCTGCAGCTTGAGGTCATTCAGGCCAATCCAGAGCTCCTCCACATCTGCCGGGACAGGAGGGTTTGGGGCTGGAATTCCCTCTGCTTGGCTGAAACCTTGCAGAGCCCCCCCCCAGCACACGAGCCCCAGTGATGGGACCAGGTCTCTGCAAAGCAGCAAACCCCACCGCAGGGCTCAGCCTCAGCCCAGCGGTGCCAGCAGGACAAAGGAGGGCAGCTCCTGCCTGCAAGGAGGGGGCAAACACAGGGACATTTGCAGCAGTCTGGGGTAGAATGGTCAAAGTCTGGACCCACAGGCTCAGGTCCAATGGTTTTCAACCATTCCCTCGCATCCCAGTCTGTCCCCAGCCTGGGGATGTCTCCCTCCTTCACCCAGCCTCCTATGGCTCCTGCCTCCCCCAGCACTAACTCCATTCATTCCTCAGCCCCTCCCCAGTGCCCACTGGAGTCTGGGTCCCCCGATGTCCCCACGGCAGGTTTGGCTACCAGGCATTTCCCTTTGGATAAGGGTCAGGATGCAGGCTCGCTGGATGGGCTGCACTCGTATGGGAGCAGCAAAACCCACCCTGGGGGTGACCCTAATGAGGGGTGGCACAAGCAGGCTTCCCCCATCTTTTTCTACATTCAACCAGCTGGGCCTGGTGCCATTCCCAGCTGCAGCTGTGTGTTTTCCTCCTAAGCACTGCAGGCTCCCGGGCACAGCTTTTCCATTTGCTGGATGGGGGATCCAAAGAACACATCACTCCCAGCCTGGGCTTTCCACTCCCTTCATAGCCACAGACTGATTCAACTTCGCAGCATCACACAGAAGTGACCTTCCCATGGACCCCCTCACCAGGCAGCAGGGATGCTGCTGACACAGCAGCTTCCCCTTCCCCTTACCTTGCTTGACCTGCTTGGTGACAAACTCCAGCTCGGAGAGGGTGTGGATGCTGACCAGGTCCCCCCCGCTCCGCAGGCAGGTCTTCTTTGCCTCCTGCCAGCTCTTCTTCTCTCCCACCAGCCGGTAGCAGTTGGACTGGAAGGGCTGCCAGCTGGGCTCACAGTCCACCTTCACCTCTGACCACGAGTCTGGTGGGACACAGGGCAGCTTGAGGGCTCCTGTCCTGCTCTCCAGCCTTGCCGGGGGGGCACCATAGGGAGGGAGTCCCTTGGGGTGCTCAGGATGACCAAGAGAAAGCAACAGTGGGAAAGCTACAGCTAAAACGTGACACACGATGGCAAGGTGCAGGCAATGGTGGCTTTAGAGCTCTGGGGACAAAGTCCCTTTTGTTTGCAGAGGAGCAGAGCAACCCACCCCATGGGGACCACGGGGGACCTCCCACTGCTCTCAATTCCCCTACCAAGCACTACTCATCTAGGCATCCCATGGGAGCTCAATCACTGCTCCACACAGCCAGGGCACCAACAAGCTGGGGACACCAACGTCCATCTCCATGGGCAGCATCCCCTGACTGTGCCGGGATGGGAGCACATCCAGCTGGAACACGGGACCACCCATTCCCATCACTGCTCACCCGTCAGGAACGGGTCCACGGTGGCGTTGGGCTTCTTCTTGCAGACATAGGGGAGAGCGATGCCGCAGTCACGGTTCTGCCACCCCCCGGAGGACTCGGTGCGGATGACGCCGCAGTTCTCCTCACTGGGGTTGTCGGGCTGGTCTGGGGTAGGGGATAAGGGGGGACACGGTGCTGAGGAGCTGGGGCAGAGCATGAACAAAGGGGGTCCTTCTGCCCCACAAGCACCCCAGCGTTAGAGATGGGTGCCCGTTGTTGGGGACCACTCCTCAGCCACACGCCAGTACTAAGCTTGGGTGCAACGACCCTTTCCTGCTTTCCTGCAGGACCTCCTAAGGTATTGAAAGGCTGCAGTAAGGTCTCTGGAGTCTTCTCTTCTCCAGGGGCTTACAGGAAAGCTGGAGAGGGGCTTCTGACAAGGACATGACAGGACAAGGGGAACGGCTTTAACCTGACAGGGGAGAGCTTTAGAGGGTGCGGGGTGCTGGCACAGGGTGCCCAGAGTTGGAACTGGATGAGCTTTAAGCTCCCTCCTGTCCCAAACCATTCTGTGATATGATTCCATGACCCCCCCAAACAAGGAAGCTCAGCCCAGGTTATCCATAAGGCCCCCAGGCACTTGAAGAGGGACAATTCCCACTCCAGCTCCTTGTGTCTCCCCATAGGTCCATGGATGTCCCAGGCTGCTCCACAGCCCCACGGCACTCTCTGTTCTATGGGACCATCCCCAGTGCTCACAGGCTGTTCCCCAGCACCCCCATTACCACCATAACCCCTTTATCTCACCACTCTCCCAGTTGAGGTACTTGAGGGGTGAATTGTCTGACCACTGCCAGCCTCCATTGATGTCCAGGTCATTGAGCCCAATCCAGAGCGTGGAGCTGTACCCAGTCAGCAGCCCTGGGGCCAACACAGCCAGAAAGGGCAGGATCAGTGTCCCCAGCCCCAGCTCGAGCTGTCACCATCCCCAGGCCAATCCCTGGGGCAGGCAGAGCACCCAGGTGAGGATGAGTGCGTGCCCAGGCTGCAATTGCCTCACCATTGATGTAAGTCTGCTCATGGATCTCGGTGATGCTCAGCAGGTTGGCCCCTTGCTGCTCGCAGCTATTCCAGGCCTCCCTCCAGGACAGCGTGGACTGGAAGTTGAACTGGTAGCAGCTGTTGGTGAGGTGGTCCTTGTCCCAGAACGTCTCACAGTCATTGCCTGTGGGGCCAAGGAGGGTGAGCACCCATCAGAGTCCCATCCACGGCTCCAAAACCCCTCATTAACCCACTACTAAGCCCCCAACACCCAGCACCGCCCCAGCACTGCAGGCTGCTTGCAGGAGGAGGGATGAGGCAGGAGGGAAAGGGAGAGGCAGGAAAGCTCCCAGGAGGGATGAGCACCGGGATTCTGCTTTTCCCCACGGAATGCATCCCCAGCACTTACTCTTTATGGGGCAGAAGCCCCACCGCTCGTCCTTGCCGTAGTCCTGGGTGGTGGCACACCAGAGATGCCCATCTTCTCGCCCCGTGCTGGTGCACTCGTGAAACCACTGGTTGTCGTACTTGAAGGGGATGGTGCAGGGCTTCCCGTGCGAGTTGCCCTGGATGGTGTAAATCTCTGGTGGAAAAGAGGAGCCCTTGTTTGAGGCTGTGTCTATGGGAGACTGGAGGGACTTTGGGATGAGGGCTGCTGGTGTGGGGGCTACTGAGGTGCCCACCTCCCATCACCCCAATCCAACTAACTGGGACCAAGCTCCCCAGGCAGGACCCAACTGCTCACATTTTGGGGGTGGTTTTGGTTCATAGAACCATAGAATGGTTCGGGTTGGAAAGGACCTTAAGATCATCCAGTTCCAACCCCCTGCCATAGGCAGGGATGCCTCACACTAGACCAGGTTGCACCAATCCCCATCCTGCCTGGTCTTTAATAGGGATGGGGCAGCCCCAGCTTCTCTGGGCACCCCGTTTGGGTTATGGGATAACACTAACGCCCAATGAGGCATTACCAGTGTAGGGCACGGAGCACAGGTCCTCCTCGGTGCCATACGTCCTCCACTGCGAGCCGCGTGCCTGGTCCCCTCTATCCAGGGAGGAGTTGCCCGGGCGGGCACTGAGATGCTGTGAGAGCTGCTCCCCGAGCCCGCGGCAGCTCCAGCGCATGTTGACGGACTCCCGGTCACACTCGTAGGTGGCCAAGGGGTGCAGCCCCACCGTGGCGTTGGCCCCGTGCCATGACACCCCCAGGCACTGCATGGCCCCCACGTTGAAGAGGCGGTTTCGGGACACCCATTTCCACTGCTGGGCCGGGGTGCTGGTGTTGCAGCCCTTGGAGAGTCGCACCAGCGAGTCCTTGGTCTCCAGGCAGCCCTGAGCACCCGTGTTGAAGATGAGGAAGACTTTGGAGTCTGGGGAGGGGGGGGGGAAGGGTGAAAAGGGTTAAAGCAATGAGTAAAAATGGAGAACATCGGGGCTGTTCAGCCTGGAGAAGAGAAGCTGCGTGGAGACCTCAGAGCAGCTTCCAGTGCCTGAAGGGGGCTGCAAGGATGTTGGGGAGGGACTCTTCATCAGGGACTGGAGCGATAGGACAAGGGGTGATGGGTTCAAACTGAAACAGGGGAGATTTAGGTTGGAGATAAGGCAGAAGCTCTTCCCTGTGAGGGTGCTGAGGCGCTGGCACAGGGTGCCCAGCGAAGCTGTGGCTGCCCCATCCCTGGCAGCGTTCAAGGCCAGGCTGGACACAGGGGCTTGGAGCATCCTGGCTCCCCTCCCACGCACAGCAAGTTTCATGGTGCATCCCTGGGTACAGCACCCAGCACATCGGGGACCACCACTTCCCGGCAAAAAGAACCCCAGGGATTCATAGAACCATGGAATTGGTTGGGTTGGAAGGGACCTTAAAGCTCATCCAGTTCCATCCCCCTGCCATGGGCAGTTTGCCCCAGTGCCTGTCCTCAGGGTGCTGGGCTCCAAGGACGGGTGTTTGCACTAAGTGTGGCATCCCCACAAAGCACCAGTGTTTGGGCATCAAAGCCAACAGCATCATCAGAGCTGCTCAAAACTGAGCTCCCAGCAGCAGCAGCAGCAGCACCCGGCTGCAGGAGCCCACACCAATGGCTTCGGCACCGGCCATCTGCTCTGGATGGAGGAAAAGAGCAGGGAACAGCGAGCGCATCCATCATTTTTATGTGTATTTGGGGAGCTGTTACAGCAGAAAGAACTCCGGGGTGAATCTCCCATCGTGTGAACAGGGCGTGATGGAAAACGCCTGCCCGCAGCCACAGCTCCCACGGGCACAGCCCCAGCAAATACGGAACGTCGCGTCAGGACCCTTGGAAATCCCAGCCCAGGCGCTGGAGGCGGGAGCAGAGCAAGGGAATCGCTGCCAGCAGATAAAGCACTCGTGCAGCTGCGGAGGGGAGAGAGCCTGATCCCAGCCCTGGCTCCACGCATGGCCCACGCTCCAGCCCTGCATCCCCACGGCAATCTGAGCCCCAGCATCGCCCCAGCGCCTGAATCCACCCAGAGCCTGGATGAACCGGTACCCCCGGGATGCTGCACTGGGACACGCGGCCCCAGCTGACGTGTCACTGTTCAGAGATCATTCCTTCTTCCTAACCCGTATTTCTAAGCTAAAAAGTCACCCCTAGGGACCCCAAACAGCCACTTCTTGTCTCGCCAGCCCAGCACAAAGCAGCACATCCACAACATAACTCCTGTGGGGTATTCTCTGCTTTAAAAGCAGCCCATTTGTTGCTCCAGCACAGGCATTCAGCAGAAGTCAAGGCGAGCTCGTGGGCCCCGCTATATTTAGCTTGGGTTTGCTTTGGGTTCTTGCCATTATATGAATGTTTTTGGGCTAGAAAGGTTTTCATTTCCTATTCCCCCACAACCTCACCCTGCCCCAGCTATGTTATTGCAGGCGGCCCTGCTGCATTCGAGCAACAAACACCCCTGCTCAGCAAACTTCCCTGCCTGTCTCTGAGGGGAAATAAGAAATGGAGGAAGAAAGACACCCCCAAGACACCCCCACTTCATTAGAGAGCTCCAGGAAAGCACTGATGTAAAATGCCCATTCCCCAGCCGAGGTGACATCAGTGATGGCCTCAAACAGAGAGGAGCGAAGCCCGCTGGTGCGGTGGTCCCCAGGGAGCAGAGGCTGCGCACGTGCAGCAGGAAAAGGCAAAGTCTCCGAGAAGAAACGCTTCATTTCTCAGAAAACATCCTTCAAACCACGGCAAAATAAGCAAAAACTCCAACGGGGCCAATTTTGGCTGCCTTCAGGCTGGTCCCTGAAACCGGGGCTGGCTTGATCCCAACCTGGACATCAGGAGGCATCATCGTCCTCCCCAAAACACCCATCTCACCATGCCAGCATCTCCCATGGCATCCCCATACAGCAGCAGGTGGTGCAACCCATCACCATCACTGCAACCCATCACCAGGGACACGGGGGACACTTTAAAGCACTTCTGCATCAGTGCTGCATCCCAATGGGCCCGAGTACCAGCACTCGGTCAGGATGAGACCTCCCTGGGTCACAGTGCTCCCAAAGGAGCCAAACCCCACCCTGTTGGGACTGGGGATAGGAAAGGCTGTTCCACCACGAGCATCAGGTAGCAATTAGGGTTCAGCAACGGGACACCCCTCTCCATTTATCTGCTAACCTGGATTTGAGGAAAATATGAGCAGCACATTGGGAAGCCCTGGAGCCACCCCAGGAGCCGGCCTCAGGGTGCACAGCACCGCGCTGGGGCTGTGCAGCACTGTGTAAGGGCAAAGTATGGGGCTCAGAGGAAGCTGTCCAGACCGGAGGGGCAGCCCCAGGGCTGGAAAAGCACAAGGTATCATTTAACTCTAAAAAGAGAAGAGCTGGTGGGAGGAAATTACAGGCTGAGGGTTTGGGGCTGCCTCTGCACGCTGCAGGCAGCTCAGCCATGGGCCCTTAGCTCCAAGCAGGGAGATGCCACTCAACGTGTGCCCTGCTCCATTCCTGCTGAGCCAGGAGGAATGGGAAAGCTTCAGCACCAGCTCAGCCTTCACCCCTCCCAGTGCCCCCATCTGCTCCCATTGCAAATGTGCTGTGCGCTGAAGTCAGTGAGGCTGGAGCACGGGGACCACCAGCATGAGCTGAACACACATCAGCAAAGGCACGTGCTGTGCTTCACCCAAATACGCTTTTCTTTCATAGAACCATAGAATGGTTTGGGTTGCAAAGGACCTGAAGATCACCCAGTTCCAACGCCTGCCATGGGCAGGGACACCTCTCACTAGACCATGTCCAACATTTACTTATAGGGACTTTGGGGCTGTGACATGGGTGTCCATGACATTGGACAGGCCCCTGAGGCACCAAAAGGAGCTTCCAGCCTCCCTGACCCCCTGAACCCCAATGGGCTCCAATGCTTATGGAGCAAACGGCTTCCAGTGTTTTCTGCATGGTCCCAACCACCTCCCAACCACTCCAAGATAAAGCTGTGGACACTGGGCCGCAGAGCTCCAGCACCACCACCAACCTCAGCACCCAAGTGAGCTCTTCCTTCTCCCACCCAGCTGCTGATGACCGGGATGGATGCAGAGTTGGATGGGATGGGACAAGTTTGTATTGATGACTCCTTCCTCCCAGCCTGGTATCCCACAGAGCAAACGCAGCCCTCGCACACCCCATGCCTCTCCCTCCTGCATCCTACATCCTTGGAGCAGAGTCCTCTCCGAGCAGCTCTGCTCCATCGTGTCCTGCTCCTCCTCCTGCGCAGAGGAACTGTGAAAGCAAAGCGAAACGCCACGCTTTCAGCAAGGATGCTGTCACACAGACACCAGGATGCTGCCTCTGGCTTACTGGGATGAGCATGGAAACCCGCTGGTGCTATGAGGCAGCGTGATGGTGGGGACAGCGGGGAGCTGGGATTGATGCTTTCCTCCTCCTCATGGGAAATACCGGGATGCTCGTGCTCCAGCACAGTGGGAGAAACCAGCCTTGGAGCCAGTGGCTGAGCAATGCAGCGATGGGGAAGCTGTTCTCTGGGGCAGCCCCACTGGAGTTCTTACACCCTGTGCCTGCCTCCACATTATTTTTCCATTAGAAAAAAGCAGGTTTTAGCCAGCAGGAAGTCAGAACTGAAGGAACTGAGCTCAACCCTTTCCCACCCCACAACGAGCGAGGAAAGCTTCGCAACCTGCAACTGTGGGGTGTGGGCAGCACCAATGAGACAGGCAATGGGGATGGGGAAGCTCCAGGGGACAGAGGTGACCATCAGTGGTGGTGGACATGGAAAGCACTGCAGCACGGGTGTCCCTGTCCCTGGAGCATCCCAGCCTGGGCATCCACACCAGGACACCCAGAGCATTGCTGCTCTGCTGTGTTTGTCACCCTCCCATCACCAGCTGCAAATCAGGGAGTAAATTCCAAGAGGGAACTGAAGCTACTGCTGGAGCCCAGTCCTGGTTATCCCGGATGGATGCAGTCACACTGGTCCCAGCATGGCAGTGCCACTCGCCTCTGTGCCCGCATCCCTGCCATGCCCTTGGTGCCTCTGGAGGATCACTGTGGTACACATTTGATGGTAGAACCCCATCCAGCTCCACTGGTGAAGGGACTGCCCAAACCACCCAGCCCCAATCCTGCTTTGTGCAGGAGGCTGAGCAGCAGCTCCAGGAGAGGCTGATGCCATCCCCAAGATCTTGGCATGGAGAAGAGCAAAAGCATGGCCATTGCCATAAAGGGTGGCACACAGAGCAACACGGATGATGCTCTCCGTGCTGCAGACATGGCCATGGATGTGGTTTGCCCCAAATCACCAGGCAAAGGCTGCAAATCCTCAAACCCCAGCATGGTGCCCCAGGAGCAAATGGGGCTCCTAGAATCAACCAGGTTGGAACTCCAGCCATTCCTTATCACTGCTAAGGCCACCACTAACCCATGGCACTGAGGGCCTTGTCCACACGGGGTGTGAACACTTGCAGGGATGGAAAGGGAAGCCATGAGGGCTCCAAGACCCAGACCCCCACCTGAGGAAAGCCAACCTGCTGACAAACCCCTTCCTTTGGGTTTGGGAGCCTGTGGAAAAGCTTTACCCACCACATCCTGCAGCAAGAAACCCAGCCTTCACTCCCACGGTGCATAAAGAAACCTTTGAGCCTGAACCTCCGGCTTTCACACGCTCCCACCCATTAGAAAATAGGGCACAGGAGCCCCCTGCTCCAAACCAGCAGCCTTCCAGCCTGTTATGCTGCCTAAGGGTGAGCAGAGGCTCCAAAATCCACCCTGCAGTGATGGAAGGAAAGCTGTGGGAACTGGCAGCTCATTCACAAAGTGGGAATGCACCAAGCTCGGGGGGGGAGATCAGCAGCAAACCCCCCTGGAATAAAAGAATACAACAGAAGAAGAAGAAGGCGGCGCTGCCCATGGGATACACAGCCCTGCGGGAGGAGAGGGAAGGGCTGGGATAGGGAGAGACCCAGGAAGGAGCCTGTGCACTGTTCCAAGGGCTAGGAAGGGGAAGTGGTTCTAAGATACTCCAGCGAGAGCTCCCAACAGCAGAGCTGAGCATCCCTGCTGCCGTGGACCGAGGAGTATGAGAGCAGCCCCAGCCCATGGGGAGGGCATCACTGCTCTGCCTCCCTCCACAGCTGCTTCGGGGCATCAACAGACTCTTGCTGCCGTAAAGAGGAACTTTAGATTTAAAAGACAAACCTAAAAGGGAAGGAAATGCAGATACCAGTGGCCCCAGGGCAGGCCGTAAGTGCCTGGCTCAAGAGGGGGCACAGGCACTGCTCCTGTCTGCTTGAGAACTGATGGCAAACACCAACCTCCCCACCCCTGATGCTCCTCAACTAGAGAACTGCATCCAAACAGTGATGCTGCCCAGTGTCCTGCAGACTCCCCCCAGCCCAGCACATCCCCAGGGCCCAGCTGGGGCCAGAAGCAGCTCTGGGTGCTCCAAGCCCAGCTCCAGAATCAGAATCCCAGACTGGTTTGGGTTGGAAAGGACCTTAAGACGTTTCTGGATCTTAAGCTTCTCTGGGCACCCTGTGTCAGCACATCAGCAACCCTCCCAGTAAAGAACTTCTTTAGATCCAACCTAAATCCCCCCTGTTTCAGTTTGAACCCATCACCCCTTGTCCTATTGCTCCCGTCCCTCTCCAGCATCCTTGTAGCCCCCTTCAGACACTGGAAGCTGCTCTGAGGTCTCTGCGCAGTTTCTCTTCACAGCCCCAGTGTTCTCAGCCTGTCAATAAAAAGGGGTCGGTGCCTGGATTTGCTTCAAAAGCAAGCTCAGGGAGCAGGAGCAGATCCCTCCCTTTCCCCAGGGAAGAAAGCGAAGCTCCCCATGGCCTGGGTCAGGGTTTGAAGCCGCAGGACCTGCGCTTGGGGCTGAGCAGCTCCTCTTGGCTCGCCAAGAAACTGCTGTTTACATGGTGGGAGCTGCATGAGACAAGCTCCTTACTTGGCTGCGATGCGCAGGCTACCTAGCACCCTGCTCACCCTGCGGCTCGTGAAGGCTTTGGACAGGGTCCCACAGTCTGCACTGCAGCCTTCCTGCAGGCATTAAAAGCCCATTCTCCCACACCCTGCCTGGGATGCAACCCAACGCATTCCACAGGGAATGCTGGCCTATGGGCAAGTCAAGCGACGCAGCCGCAGCCACTGCAGGGGACAAGGACCCCAGCATCCACCCTCTGGTACCCAGAGCCACTTCAGGCTCCGGGCACACATCCAGAGGGAAAAATCCCAGGTTTGCTGACTCTCTGGGAATGCAGGGAGAAGAAGGCAGTGCCATCCATCTAACAGGCCAACAGGACACCATGGCTAGGATCAGCACGAACATCCTGTCCCATATACATGTTCTCATCCAGCCTGGCATCCTCAGCCTTGTCCTGGGGATGGCTCTGGCCCATCTGACCACCCCGACCTGTGCACCCCACCACAGCACAGGCCCCCAGGCAGGAAATCCATGGCCATATCCAGGGATGTGATGGGATACATGGGACATGTGTCCCCATGGATGCAGCTCCATCACAGATGGCTGAAAACTACCATTCTTCTCAATGCTACTGAAACTTCCCCCCATCAATCATGCTCTACATCAGACATTTTCATAGCATTATCATGGAATGGTTTGGGCTGAAGGGAGCTTAAAGCTCATCCAGATCCAACTCCAATGCCACGGGCAGGGACCCCTTCCACTGGAGCAGCTTGCTCCAAGCCCCTGTGTCCAACCTGGCCTTGAATGCTGCCAGGGATGGGGCAGGCACAGCTCCCCTGCGCACCCTGTGCCTCATCATCCTCACAGGGAAATTCTTCCTAATGTCTCATCTAAAGGGCTTGATCTCCCCACTCCCAGCTCCAGCATCATCCTGCAAACCCACTGCTTTACGTGGAAAACCCCATTTACATCCCTGTTGAGACAGCACGAGGTGCAGCAGAGGACTGAGCTCCCAGCTTGGAAAATACCCTGTGCTCCTTGCAAACAGCCAAACCTTCGCTCCCGGGCTAAAGAGTACCCTTAGGAATTCACAAGTCAATCCCCTCATCATTTTCTAATCCTTAATTCATTAAAGATGGATCCTTTAAGGAAAAGCACATCTGTGTGGGTCCTTTTTGGGCTCAGAGCAATCTGAAGAATGAGAAAAATGTTGATGCTCTGCGGGCTCGGCACAGTTCACAGCAACCAAACCCCTGCTCCTCGCCTGCACGTGAAGGACATCTCCCAAACGGCTTAAAACACCCATAGAGGAAACAACAGGATGGGCTCAAGGGGCTGCTCCTGCTCCCACCTGATTGCTGGGTGCACTGGAGCAGGGCACGATGCACCCGTGATGCACCAACATGGGCAAAAGCCTTTTGCTGCCCTTCTCCAGGCACTAGGGCCAGTCTTCTCCTCTGGGTCTATCTGTTGCATTTAACAGACAGCAATTACAGCCCCTCAGCCACCTTTAGCTTTGATATGGGGGCAAAAAGCTTCCCTGGAAAACACTTAAGGAAGCAGAAGGCAGGAGCGCGCCTCTGCCCTGGGGAAAGGTGCAAAACGCAGCCAGAAATAAAGGCAAAGAGAGAGACCTGCAACGTGGCTTTAACCATCACCAGGACCTCACGCCTCAAACACATTCCCATGTGCAAGGTGCTGCCTCGGGGTGGGAAACCTCATCCAGTGGCTTTGAGGGAGGTTTGCACCGAAGGGTCAATCGCTTTTGCTCCTCATTGCTGTCACTTGTGCAATCTCAGTCTCATCCTGCTGAGGCAGCGAGGTCCCACTGTCCCCTGCCAGGCACCCAGCCCCTGCACTCCCAGCACCAAAACCAACACCGCATCCCCCTTCGCTCCTAAATAACCAAAGCAGATCGAGTTATCACTTCTTGGAGCTGCATTTGCCAGGCAACAGGTTACTTCCACTGCAAACCAGGGGGAGCGTCATGCAGAAGCTGTTCTGTTTGGTTTATAGGCTGTAAATTCTCCTTGGGGTCCCTTCTGCCCCCCCCCCCCCCGGTGCAAATCTGACACAGCATCTCCCACCCATGGTCCCATAGACACAGATGAAGCTGATCCAAAACACCAGCAACACCATGGTCTCACATCAACAGCAGGACCTCATCCTGCCTGCAGCCATAGCAGGACAGGAGCTGCAGCCTGCTTCCCCAAGACAAGAGCGTGGGTACCCAAGCGATACTGCAGAGATGGGGCAGCTGGTGGTGACATTCCAATCAGGAGCCACAAACCTCCTGATCCAGTTTCCCAAAGGCAGGGATTTTGTCATGAAGTGACAGCTCTGCAGGGAAAGCAATCCTGCAGACAGGATCCCAGCAAGGATCCTTTTTGAGCTGCAAACCCAGCCTGGTGCTGGGGGACCTCGGATGTGCCACCTCTATTGGCACCATCCCCTTCATCCCCTTGGTCCAAGTAAGGATGACGGTGGGGAAAGCAGTGGAGAAACGGGTGCGTTGAGGATGCCATCACGGTGCTCGGTGTGAGCAGCTCAGCACCGAGGGCTGGAGCAGGCTGAAAGCTGCCTTGTTCCTCGCCCTGCCCCGGTGCAGGGACAGAGCTGCCTCTGTCCTGGTGCTCGCCAGCCCCGGATCCCACCAGCATTTCTCAGGGTTAAGCAGCCAGAATGGGTCCTTACAGGTAGCTGAGCCCTGCTGGAATCAAGCAATCCCCTGGAAAACCACAAAAGGAGGAGGAATTCATGGCCCTCAAGTAAATTATGGGGAGGTTTAATGGGAATTCAGCTGCAGGATGCTGGGGGTTCGGCTGTCTCCAAACCCTGGCAACGGCTCTTCTGAATGCCCTGTGGTACATCCCATCACCTCCACCTCCAGTTTCTCCAAGCCGTGAGCCCCCAAAGCTCATAGATCCCTCGTCTGGCACGGGATTGGTGCCACCGGGATCACACCAGCAACACCAGGTCCTGCCCTGGCTGTGCTCAGCCCCAGGGAGCTGCTGGGCTGGGAAGAGATGGACAAACAGGGGCAAGGCAGGGAGCAGGGCAGTGCTCTCCCATGCTGCCATTCCCAAATCCGCTTTGGATTTGCTAAACATACTTGAACAAACCAGGCCGAGGGGTTGTTTTCAGGCAAAAGCAGCCAATTGTGCTCTTCTTTCAATAAATAAAGTTTCTCAATAAGGCCAAATGAATCCAAGGCAGCAACAGGAGCCGCTCCTCACTGCTGGGACAAACTATCCCGGGGTAAAAAGTGTCTTAAACGGCAGAGCCAGGGCTGAGGAGCCTCAGGCGTTTGGCACATGGTGTTTCCAGAAGGCTTTAAACCAGAATGTGGCCAACTGATTGTGAGAAACTAAGGCAGAAAATGAGAGAGGCTGCGGGCAGCCCGAGACTGCTCCCTATGACGGGAAAGGGAAGGGGGGAGCAGGAGGGGAGACGGAGGAAGCCTCCCACAAAACCCTCCGGCCCCTTTCCGACCTCCCCTCCGCGAGCTGCGCTCCCCGGGGAGACAAAAGGAGCGGAGCTGCGGGGCGCTGCGGGGCTGCGGCTCCCGTTCCCCCCCGCCCCATGCCCGCGGAAGCGTTTCCGCCGTTTTGGCCAGACGCTGCGTGCGGCGCGGGGCGGGAGTCAAACGGGAGGGGGGGGGGGGGGGGAACGCGAGGCGGCGAAACTGGAGAAAACAAAACGCGTCGGAACGAACGGCGACCGAGGGAGGCTGGGGTAAAACAAACGGCGCTAAACGGCAACGGAGCATCCCGGGGGGAAACAAAACCGGAGCAACGGCAACTGCACTGGCACCCCCCTCCCCCCCCCAAACCGGGCTGTTGGGGTACCCAATAATAACGCGCGGATACGGATGGGGGGGGGGGTCGCGGTCCTACCCGGGTGCGCAGCGCCCAGCACCAGCTGGAGGCCGAGGAGGCAGCAGAGGGGGGCGCGGAGGGGCCGCGGTCCCGCGGAGCCGCGCCCCATCCCCGGCCGCACCGCACCGCGCTCCGCTCCGCGCCGCTCCGCGCCGTCCGGGCCGGGGGGCGGGCGGGGAGGGGGAGGAGGAGGAGGAGGAGGGGGGGGAGGGGGGAGGGGGAGGGACAGCGCCAAGAGGGAGGGGAAAAAAGTTTCAAAAAAAAGTAAAATTAGGGGAAAAAAAAGGGAAAAAAAAAATAAAGAAGCGCGCGCCGGCGCCAGACGCTGCAGCAGCGGCCCCCGCACCCGCCGGGCCAGGGGTCCCCGCAGCCCCAGCACCACGTCGGGTCCCGCCTTCCCCTGCCCGAACCTCGGCTCCTGCGGGCGGTTTCGGGCGCAGCCCCGGGTGCTCGCGCTCTGCCTGAAGGGAGGATGGAAAAGGACAGGGTCGGGATCTGCTCCCAAGGAACAAGGGATGGGACAAGAGGAACCGGCCTCAAGCTGCACCAGGGCAGGTTTAGATGGAGCTGAGGAACAATTCCTGCCCCAGAGGGTGCTCAGGCATTGGAACAGGCTGCCCAGGGCAGGGCTGCAGGCACCGTCCCTGCAAGGGTTCACACCCCATGGAGACGAGGCCTCAGTGCCATGGGGCAGTGGTGGCCTTGGCAGTGCTGGGGTAAGGGTTGGGTTTGATGATCTTGAAGGTCTTTTCCAACCTGGTTGATTCCATGATTCTTTCATCCCAAGCACTGTATTGCTGAGCCAGCCCAGCTGAATCCTGCTCCATCCGTCCTGCAGCACAGAGCTGGGCAGCTCCTGTCTTGCCTGTGGATGGTGAATGCTGAGGTCGGACACAGCTCATTGCACCTTCCCTACCCCAAGAGTAACCCCATCCCTCCAGCCATGGAGGGCTCCAGCTTCTCAGTACTCCAGTGAGTAGCACAGGGGTCACAGCATCACACAGCATGAATGATGCACTGGAGGAGCTTTAAGGTCCCTGCCAACCCAAACCAGGCTGGGATTCTATGAAGAAAGCTTTGAAGGGGTGGGGGAAACATTCATGTTACAGTGCAAAGACTTGGCTGCACCCACAAGGGTGCTCATGGTGCCCATCCCATAGGAGCATCCCTGAGAATGCAGGAGCCTCACTTCCTCCTCTAGCTTTCAGGGATTTGGGCAGCCCTCAGTATACAGGTTGTGCCATACATACAATGCCATGATCCGATGAGGCCAAAGGGATGGCAGCGCTCCCTGGAGCGGGGAGCAGGATCTGTCCCCAGACAGGCTGAGCCAACCACGTGTTTGGCTGTTCCTGCAGAACTAAATGAAGCAAGGCAGGAAGAGCGGTGCCAGGATGGACTTTAGGGATGCGAACCCTCCGGGAGGGCCCAATTAAGCACATCAGCATCTGGGCTGTTGGGTTCTTTAAGCCAAGGATTACTTTTAATTGAGGCAGTGCTTGGGAACAGCCGCAGTCGCCCTCCATGGCCGGGCACACACCGGGGGCTGCCTGCTGGGAAAGAACCTGGAGGAGGGGAGGGAACTGTCCAGATCCTCAGTCCCATCCCTAAACCTTGGAGCCCGCTCCTGGGGGGTGTCACCCACCGAGGCTCCAGCAGCTGGGTGTGATGGAGCTGCCAAATCCCATGAGTGGGACCCTTCATCCATCCCTTTCCCAGGAGCTGAATCCCATCCAAAGAAGGGGACAGGGCAGAGCTGAAAGGCTTCAGATCCCTCAGAGCATCGCTACCTCCTCGCCTGGTCCATCCCATGTCTTGGGTGTAATTAGAAGATAATTAGCACTTCCTAATCATTAATTCCTCCAACAGGGGCCAACAGCTCCTCACCTCCTAATCCAGTTTAGTACCAGTTGAGTTGTTACTCGTTGGAGTGGATTGGGAGGAAATGCATTTTTCTCTTCCCCTGGGAGCATTCCAAGCTGTCTGACCTCTCCGGCACTAAGGAACTGCTGCCAGATTGAGGGGATGTGGCTGCGTGCAGGGGACAGGCGACAGCGGTGCCGGGATTGCTCCTTGTCCAGGACAATGGGTGGGAGCTACGAGCTCATCCCGGGGTTATCCAGCACTTGGGACATGCGGCGTCTGCGCGTGGTTCCTGCAGCCAGAGCGGGATCTGTGTCCGTCCCCTTAGTTGGGAAAATAAGTGTTTCTGGGTTTGGAAAACATTCCCAGGGATGGATCCATGGCACTCACCCACCTCTGGCTGCAGGTCTGCCCTGGTCAGGAGCACCGGCAGCCGGGATGCTCAGCTTCCCACAGGCTGGAAAATCAGTGCCATTAATGAGCTGTGGGACCAAGCCTTGTGGGATGCGAAAGGAAACCCTGAGGTGCTCCATGGGTGTCCTGCCAGTGGCAGGGGATTGGAACTAGATGATTTTAAGGTCCTTTCCAACCCAAACCTATCTATGAGTCTATGGCACCCTGTGCGTTACCGAGGTTGGGGCTGGTATGGAGCTTGTGCGAGAGGCATTAGAGGACAGGATCTGGGGACCTGTGGGGCACAAGAGCAATGTCCATACCCCCAGACTCGATGCTTTGAAGGAAGGATCTGCACCAACCCATCAGCAACCTCTGATGCCTGGCTTTAGAGCCCGAGGAGGACATAGGGGTGCATTATATGACATGGGGGCTGCATCGATCATGCTCTTCCATGTGTGTTCCCCCCCATCCTTTGCTCTCCACAGGCTCCGGGAGCACAGCAGTGCCCTGGGCTTTGGGGACCAGCAGCACCTGCCAGGCCCCGCTGCGAGCTCATCCCTCCATCCGCACCGCCCCGGCCTCATCCTGGCCCCCGGACGGGACCGTCCGGGCCAAGATCAACACCCCCTTGGCAGGCGCGGCGCTGAGGTCACTGCTCAGGGAAGAGGCCGTCCTGGCGTCTGCTGGCTCCTCGCCCCCGCGCCGGCAGCAGGCGAAGGCCACGTTGCTCTCCCCTCATTAGAGGCAGGCAAGGGACAGCCAGGACACAGCTTCCCCCCGCTAAGCATCACCCTCCTCGCTGGGATGCGGGGCTTGAGGCATCCCCAGCGCGGCGGGGATTCACCCCCGTTTGCTTTTGCAGCCTTTCCTCCCAGGGACAAGCCTGGGGATGCTGAGTGGGGGCTCAGCTCCGCCATGGTCCCAGCATGAGGATGCTGATGCTCCCAAGGGTTTGGTGCTGGGAGAGGGGTCTTGCTGATGGGGGCATTGGGGGGGGGCTGTAATGCAGTTTGCTCCCCGTGCTCCTCCCCTAAGCACACTGTTGAAGATCAGCCCCAGCTTTGCTGACACCCAGCTGGGGATAGAATCATCCTGGCCATAAAGAAGGGCCATCTCCCTGCTCTTCCAAGCCATCCCCTCAGTTCTTGCAAGGAGCAGATGGGGCTTTGCCAGCCACTGGAACCTTGGGTCAGCCCCAGACCCTCCTCAACTCTGCTGTCACCCCACACAGCAAAGGGGGTCCCTTTGTGGGTGCCCCACGCTGCAGCCTTTGGAGCTCTTTGGCTGCTCTTTTCTTGCAGCTCTTCAAGAGTCAGGCGAGTTCAAGCCGTGGCTCAGCTATTGAAACCAGATGTGCTCGCTCAGAGCTGCCACGAGGAATCCGAGGGCTCAGATCCTGCCCTTCCGCTGCCGGCGGCTGCCCAAGGAGCAGCTGCCCCCCGAGCCCAGCCACTGCCTCTGCTTCCTCCCCACTGCTCCTGGGCAAAGGAATTCCAGCCCTTTGCAAGGAATCTGCTCTGAGGGCAGCACTTTCTCCCCATGACTCAAGGAAAGCAGCTGGAGAGCAGCGAGAGGACAGCACATTCCAAATGGCATCTTCCTCATTCCGGAAGTGGAGATCCCACCCTGTCCTACAGGAGCAGCGTGGTCCAGTGGCCACTCAGTGGGTCCCAGCTTCATCGCTTCCACCTCTGCTGCTGCCTCACCTCACAGCCACAGGCACATCCCCTTCCACCTCCATCCCTGCCATTCCGTTCAGTGTGGAGGGGTTGTGGCACCGATCCCAGCCGCTCTCCTGGGGTTGGGTGTGAGCGGGTGGATTTTCAGGATCAGCCGGAGCCGGGATGAGCCAGTGCTGAACAAAGCAGGTTTTGAGCCCTCATCTCACTGCAGAGCTGAGCCAGGCCAAGAGCGAGGAGGATGCTGCCGACACGGCAGCTCGTGGCTCCCGCGCAGCAGCGGCTTCGGTCAAGAGAGGACAGGGCTGAGCAGAGCTCTGGGTTTCTTCTTCCCATGAATGCAAACCAGAGCCAAGCCCTTCCTAACCCTGCTGCCTGCGTTCCCTGTAGCTGCTCGAGTGGGGATGGGAGATCTGGCCTCTGGTCTCCCCATCCCCACCCTGCTGCTCCTTACAGCATCCCTGCATTCTTAGCTCCATCCCGTGCCTTTGGAGCTGCAGCTGGACCACTGCACCGCTCTGCCCCATTCCTGCAGGAGACGGCAGAGCAGGCCCAGTGCTGCCTGGTGAGGCTCATCCAGCACTGGGGGGGCAGGTGGTGGTTTACCTGCTTTCAGGCTACGCTGGACCAGCTCAAAGCACTGCCCCAGCAGCCAACAGCATATGGAAACAAGGACCCACTGAACAGTGGAAACACTGAGCCGCAGCTGATGGGTGTAGGAAGAAGGGCTGCAGTAACCCATGCCAGGGCTGGGAGTGAAGAGGAGGACAGAGAAGCGTGCAGCTCCTCACCAACAGCACGTCCTGGTGGCTTTTCCTGTCCTTTGAGCCCTCATGCAGCTAATGCATGAAATGAGTGTCTCAGCCCCGGTCCTGCCTCCTGCTTCCCCACCCGGCGCAGACAATGGGATCCTTGTGACCAAGGCACCAGTTCCTGTGTGCGAACGTGGCGAGGGGAAGCTGTATTTGCTTGGCCTCTCACCCCCCACCCCAGGGTGATGGCACCCGGTTGCCCCCAAGGGCACTGCTGGGGCCAGGGTGAAGCAGAGCCACATGAGGCAGTGGGAATTCAGGGTCCTGGTGCATGGAGTCATCAGCATTTAGTAGGAAAAGGCATCTCCGGGATGGATGGAGTCAAGGCTGTGCTGGATGTCACTTCCACATGCTGCGAGCCTCCTCTTCCTCTCAGTGCTGGAGGGTTTAAGTCCAGGCTTACTTGTTTAGTACCCAGAAAATA